ACGAAATTTCGTTTTAATAGTACTAGGGATCCACGATATTGGTTTTTTGAAACCGATACCGATAACTTCCTGCTTCTCAAGACCGATACCGATACCCGATAATAATATAATATATATATATATTAAATGGACCTGTAGTTTTTGCACGCCTGGTGGTAAAAAAAAAAGACTAGTAGGTGGGGGTTGGGTCATCTCTGNGATACCCGATAATAATATAATATATACAGGACTGTCTCAGAAAATTAGAATATTGTGATAAAGTTCTTTATTTTCTGTAATGCAATTAAAAAAACAAAATTTTTGTTTTTTTAATTGCATTACAGAAAATAAAGAACTTTATCACAATATTCTAATTTTCTGAGACAGTCCTGTATATATTATATTATTATCGGGTATCGGTCTTGAGAAGCAGGAAGTTATCGGTATCGGTTTCAAAAAACCAATATCGTGCATCCCTAGTACTATTAAAACGAAATTTCGTTGTACTGGCTTACAGGAACAGGACAATATAAAAACGTTCTAAAATTGTACATATAAATAAATAATAGTGACATGGTGCTGATAAAATTAAAGATAAAGAGTGTGTTTAAAATATAAAGACTTACTATACATATAAATAAAATAGACATACTATATAGAAAATATGTGCGCTTTACACAGCGTAATGTAATCCTAACCCTATTCACTTTATATCCGATGTTCCTTGTGCAGCTCCATATGATCATGTGGATTGTTATTACCAGCAGATACCGAGCAACATTAGCATTCATCTGGAGTCACGTCCCCTGGCCACCTGATGAATTGTTCCAATATTCACCATGCTTTCATCTGCTGAGACGAAAGGTTTAGCTTTTTAGATTCAAAATGTGACACTATGTTTACCACCACCTTTGTGTGTCTGCCGTGTGATACTGGGCAGGTAGCGAACACTGAATTTATCAGTGTTCTCGCTGTGACGGCTGCCGGCTGGGGGTGAAAACAGAACTGATGAGAGCAGTGAGAGCGAGAAAATGCTGAAATTCAGGAGTGATCTCTAAGTCACAGTAGTCATGTGATCCATTTATGGTTAAAAACATATATAGATTTTTGACGGGTTTTAACTTAGATTTGAGTAAAGAATTGTAATGAGGAAGGGCTACTGAAACCACAACACATCACATGTTCTTCTGATGTGCAGTCTGTCTCCTTTCCCATGCATTTTAGGCTTATCAGAACAGACTCATTATCTTTCATTATATAGGTCATGTTTTTCTTCAAGCAGCCCCGTGACAGACTGGAAACCTGTCCACCCTTCGTCATGCCCTGTGTTTAATGGATTAGGCTACAGCACAGACTTTTTAGAATGTACAATATCAGGTAACAGTTTGCAAATTTAAAATTATAAGATAGGATCCTACTTTTTTTTACTGGTTTACATAATCATGTAGGTCCAGTAATCTCTTTTCCATTCAAACGAGTCTTCATATGAGTTAGAAAACAGCAGTGAGAGACAGACACGATTTTGTATTTGTGTTTTCTAAATGAAAGATAGTGTCCTCGAAGAGATTATATGCACTGCTGAAACCCAGAGGGTGGTGATGACTTGTTAGCTCACATACTGATAGCATACTTCAGTTTAAAATCAGTATTGTATGTTGGGGTTGTGACAGGGAGTGACGAGAATTACACAGCGCAGACAGATTGCGCCAAGCTCAAGGTAATCCCAGCGAAAAAGCCTATAATAGCCTGTAAAGTTGTGTAATTATGAGTCAGCTTTTTTTCTTGCCAAATCATATAGTTCAAATGTTTGATGGCCGAGTACAAGTCAACTCCAAGACACATAAATGGGATCCTTGGCTTTACAGGATAAGCGGGTACAGGAGATAAATGAGTGGAAGGCCTGATGTAGGGTGACTTTTATGAGCGACAGCAGTATAAAGGTGAAAGTAAGTTAGGAGAGCACATTAAATCACACTGGGAAGGTGTGGGACCCGCACTGCAGCTTTTCGACACTCTACTGCTTAATTAGCATTTTTTTGACCCTTTCTTTAACTATTGTCCTGATTTGAGCTCAAATCCTGTTCGATGCTTAGCTTCTATTTGTTTTATGTGGTGAGAACTTAAGGGATGTCTCAACACAACGCAGACTGTCAGCACCAATCTCCCTTTGGTTTGCAATGCACCCTATTACCCTTTTACTTGGCCTTAATTTTCCCCTCTGTTACGGACACCCCTCCCCATGTTCCCTTGCCCTCCTCTCTGCCTCTCTCTCGCTCTTTGTGCTGTGTAACCACCAGCTCTGTGTTTGACAGCAGACTCAAACAAATCCACAGGCTCCGGACCAGCTTTTTTGTTGCCAGAGGGACTCGAGTGTTTCCGCCCCCTCCAATACCTCCTACCCCTCCGACACACTGTGATCTGCAGCCAAAGCCCTCCACACACGCACACGCACACGCACGCGCACTATCCCTTCGGCCAGTAGCTTCCATGCACTCCCTCTGTATAGAAACGCTCCACTGAACTGCAGTTACTGAATGCAGTCAGACCTCAGGCTTTTGGATCCAGGATCCGACTTTGAATCTCAAGACTCTAAAATACAAACAAAAGACGACAAGTTTGCCAGGTGGATGTGTTTCTGTTTCTGAACGCAGGCCAGGAGAGGAGCTCTGTGCTCTGTTAGGCGCTGGGGGTGGGGGTGCAGTGTTGGTTATTTATAACGTCCTGCCCCTGTGTGATTTTTGGGAATGCCAAAGCTCATTAGAGGTTTCCTCCGAAGGGTCAGGGTCAGCGAGGCCAGATGTTGGTGATTGGAGCAGCGGAGGCAGACAGTGGTGTCGAGTGTCAGAAACCAAACGGATGTCAAGCTCAAATCTGAGCCGAGACAGACGGCAGACACAGCAGTGGGCTGGTTTGTGAGGGTGTTTGAGGTAATCAAGGTTTCCAATAAATCACGGTAACATTAGTCTACTTGTTATGGGTCACTGTTTGTAACTGTGTGGTGTACTGACCAGTAAAGGATTTAATGTACACTTGGGTGTAACAATGGGGTCCAGTTTTCACAGAGGCAACAAAGCTGTTGTGTTTTGATTTTACACCATGCTGCCCTCTGTTGGTCTGATGTATTCAAATATCCTGAGAATCAAAGGTGTTGCTTGATATGAAAGAAAAAAATAATAAATGCTGTTTTCATACCCAGAAAATCCAAATAAGACAGGTTTCACTTTATAGTCCTTTTATACATCATGTGTGGCTACATACACATCCAGACACATGAACTAATATTGTTAAATGGCCATCAGTGGAGCTATCAAGAAGGTACATGACTCTGTTTGAATATAATTGAAAAATAAGGTGATCATCCCCTATAGCTTATAGGAGTAATTCAAACAAAATATAGTAGTGTTTTTCACAACAAAATGTGAAAGCCAATTGGTTGAATCCAAAGCTCTCCTGTTTCCTAAAAATCCACCTTTCTCTCAGTGACACTCTGAAAAACAATAAATCACTCAAATCAAATCAAACTACTTTGATTAGCAAACGTTTCAGCTTCTCAAATGTTCTTAGTTTTCTATAAATGAATGTGAATATGAATCTATTTGGTTTTTGGACTGTTTGTTTGCAAAAACAAGCAATGAAAACAATTCACCATGAGCTCTGGGAAAGTGTGATATCTTTACTATTTGTATCATTGTTTATTCATAATTATTTTTCTTCTTAGTTCCAGTAAAGAGTAAACAACTATAATTATAGATATACATCCTTTCATCTATGCACCACAATTTCCACCGTTGTGGCAGTCCTATTTTCTTGTATTTGGCTAAATTGAGAACATTCTGTTTTCAAATCTCTAAACTGTAGAATGTTTGTTTTTGCAGGTAACTTTCCGTACGAGAATCTATCACTGCAACATCAACAGTCAGGGGGTGATCTGTCTGGACATCCTGAAGGACAACTGGAGCCCAGCCCTCACCATCTCCAAGGTGCTGCTGTCCATCTGCTCCCTGCTCACAGACTGTAACCCAGGTGAGATCTGCAGCTCTCTGCACGACCGTTTGATGTTTATATTATGATCATTTAGTGACGTTATTCTGTCTCTTTATCCACCTCTTTTTAAAGTTGTTCTGTGTAATGTTTATTTTTGCTGAAGGCATTGTTTAATGCAGTCAAGAATAATGTTTCCAGACTGTTAAAAGTGTAGTAAGTACCGTAAGCCATGACCAATTGAAACCCTCATGGTTTCTCAATGCTGTCCAACACTGACAGATCTTTGGCACCGTCTCGGGGCTGAAGCTGTAAATAATAAAACCACATTTTCATAGCCGAGAAAAGCAAAGGAGCTGTTGACAGAGCAGCTACAATGAAAAACTAATATCATCCTGTCATATACCCTAAATATAAGAAAACTGATGATCTGTTTAGGCTTTGTTTGGCTTAAGAACAAAATATCGTGCAGGCTGGAGAATGTGTGTGAAAGAAAGACAGCTCGGGACTTTGTGAAGGGATAATTGGGTCAGTGGTCCACCTTGTAAAGATGTAAGATGGCCATATATGTGAGCATAATGGGAGTACAGGGAATTAACCTGCAAGATGGTGGTTTTATTGTAATTTTACCGCCTTCCCTTCTCCCTAGAGTCTTTGCTGCTCCTGTAGGGGATTGTCTCAGCCTTTAATATGATTAACTGGCTATTGATACAGCTGAATGTGAGACAGTGTAATCAAGTCTACTTGAAGGTCTCCAGACCATAATAAAATGAACGCTGCATCTCTCCCCCAGGCAAAACTCTGTACAGTTTAGAAACTACATGAGTCTGCTATATGATCTTGAATGAAATCAAATGACATTTATATCTATCATGGTTAATAATGAGGAGGAACTTAAAGGGGACCTATCATGCAAAATGCACTTTAGTACGTCTTTTATACATGAATATGTGTCCCCGTTGTGTCAGGGAACTCACCAAGTGTCGAAAACACCATACCCTCTCACTTTTCCTCCAATACCCATCTCTGAAAAGCGGGCTGCATTGGATTCATATCGCTGATCAGATTTGAAAATGTTGATGTCCGAAACGAGGAGGCTCGCTATTATATGGCCATCTCCTAGCTTATTCAGGGGAATGAGAGGTTGCGTTGTAATGGTAACAGCTATGGTAACAGCATTGGTAACAGCGATGGATGAACAGCATGTAACGATGACACTCGTGCCATCAGCCGCCCCTCCTTTGCAGGTGTCGTGCGGCGATTTACCACAGAACGCCCTTGAAAGAAGTCGTGAAGAGCAGAATAGAGGAAATGACATGGCCGTAAAATGTCATGTCTGTTTGGTATTTGAAGAAAAG